TGAATTCTAGTCCCACCTTAGGCATGAAAGCCAGCTGGGTGACTTTGGGGCAGTCGCTCTCTCTCACCTCACAGAGTTGTTGTTGTGGGGAAAGGAGTATTAAGTATGTTCACCGCCTTGAGTTATTTATAAAAATAATAAAGGCAGGATAAAAAATCTAAAAAATAAGTCTATATATTAAAGGTTTTTTTTTTGAAGCATTGTAATATATTTTGAAATATATAGAAAAGCAATTCTAATAAAGTAATTCAGATGAATCTCATTTAAGTGAACTTCATCTAGGTGACTCCTGCTTGTATGTGTCCATTTACTTCTTGCTAGCGATTAGCAGACTCCTTTACTGTATCCCCAAGTAACTTAGAAGACAACTTTGGTTCAAAAAATGTTTTGTTAGGAGGTATGACAAATTTCTATTCAATAAACACAAATCTAAAATTAAATCAATTGTTATTTGACTCCTAGTGTTCTCTTGGTATAAACATAGTTTGCATGTCATTGGAAATATAAAATTATTTTAAGCCATATATAGTTTATTTAAACACATAAAATAAGATTTTATTTTACATTTTTAATGATAGTCCTAAAATATGAGATTGAGTAATTAAAGTAATTCAAATGAATTTTATAATAATTTCCCCTTTGATATTATTCCATTAAAATGGTAAGTGCTGTTTGTGTTGGACATTGAGACATTTCTATATTTATATATAGAAACGTTCTCAATTTTATTAAATGTTCAGTGTTGTTTTAATAAAATTGTCTTTGTGTAACAACAAATATTGTTATAAATATAATTAGAGAGCGTTTTAGGTGTTTGTTGCTACTATGGAGTGAATTAGTTATCTAGCTTGGGTCTTTTTAGGCTGCAATCCAGTCACAACTTGATGGAGTTCGAACTGGCTTAAGCCAGCTGCACACTGCATTGCATGATGTCAAGGACATACAGCACTCTTTGGTTGATGTCAATAAAGACTGGCGGCAAAGTATCAACACCATAGAAAATCTCAAGGATGTTAAAGATGCTGTAGTTCAACATAGTCAACTGGCAGCTGCTGTAGAAAACCTCAAAAATATATTCTCAGGTATGACTCCTAAAATATCTTATGTACTGATGGTACAATGGAGTTGCATAGTATTGTTGTTGTTGTTTAGTCGTTAAGTCGTGTCCGACTCTTCGTGACCCCATGAACCATATTGCGCCAGGCCTTCCTGTCCTTCACTGC